GTGAGGATGATGATGATGAGGAGGAGGATGGTGAGGATGAGTGTGGAGGTGTGTCAGAGACAGCGGGTGGACAGAGACACTAACATCTGTCCTCAGTGAGTGAGAAGTCTGCAGACACATCTGCATAATTCATGCACAGCTGATCATTGAATACGAGCTGCAGGCAGAAACACCACAGATGAAGAAAACAGGAAGTAAATGAGATGTTCCTGTCAGGGCTTATGATGATGATGATGAAGGTTTAGCTCTGCTGTGAAGACACATTAGTAAAAGGGCTGCTGGGTAATATCAGGCAGGACTGACCTCCATCAGGCAGATGGTCCAGAGAGCTGCAGGAGCATGAGGAGGATTAGATTCAGCCTTGTTAGAGGACAGGAAGGTGAAGCTCGTCTCTGTGGACGTCTTCAGCCAACAGCTCGCAGCTTCATGCGGTCATGTGGACAGCAGCTATCATGGTGACACCATCACAGGAAGTGGAGCAGAAACATCTCCTCTGCTCCGTCAGTGAAGCTCTGACTGAAACAGCTGACTAACTGCTGTCATGGTAACCTGCTGCTGAGGCTGAACTCAGTTCACACTAGGGCTGGGCGATATGACCCAAAATTCATATCTCGATATGTTTTAGCTGGATGGCGATATACGATATATATCTCGATATTTTTTAAAGCCATAAAGTAAGAACAAACAGAGAGTTCTTAGTCACACTGTGTCCCAGATGTCACACAGGCACTTTTATTAACATACAGCATAGATTTACATGAAGAAATTACTCAGAAATAAATGATCAGCATTTATTAAATAATTAAATAAAGCACTATAAATAAAAGAAAACTGTTGTTTTTGTGCATAACAAAAAGCTCACAATTGTGCAGTCAAAATGTAAACTAACAGATGCTGAGCATAATAAGAAGCAGCTGCTCTGTTCCCAACTTCTACTGCGTGACTGACAGCAGTTTGAAATCCTCTTTGTATCCGTGTCTCTTACAGGTGCCATTTATGGTCCTTATACACACAGTGCGGTAATATTACGTTGAAGCACAGTACGTATCACTCCGCGAGGCTCCACGGTAGCCGTAATGCTCTGGCAATTCATCAAGCGCTGCAGCTTCGTAGCTTACCGAAGTTGTACTAAAAGATTTATTGACAGATTGCTGAGCGCCGTGTTCCACAGAAAATCGGTTCGCGGTCATCAAGCACAACCAG